TCTCACATCCTCTTCAGCTCAGAAAGCGCCGATATGATGACGCACAAGCGTGACCCGTCAACCCGGTCTCACAGTAAGACCGGGATGGACCTGTTCAGGTTTACGCAGACAATCTTTACATTTAGAATTGGCATACAGATGTAAAATTAATGCAGTAAAATATAAAGCATTTTATTTAAATATCCATTCATTATTTTACAAGCACAGAGAGCCGCATCAGATGGATGGAAGAGCCGCATGCGGCTCCAGAGCCGCGGGTTGCCGACCCCAGCTTTAGTGGTACTGGTCTCTTAAGTTTCAGTTCTATTTCTTTCACATTTTCATAGAATTTTGATAACCATGGGTAACAGGAACAAAGCAGTAGTGACAAAAGAACGGATGTTACAAATGAGATAGGAAGTAAGGTGACAAAACAGAACCAGAAACACAAGAGAAATGTTTAAAAGCAAATCAACACAAAATCCAATCCTCAAATATTTGACATCTTCTACCCAAAGGTTTTTATAATGCTTGTGTGTGTTCGTTGTTAGACGGAGACATTAGATAACTGCTTTAAACCCGTGATTTACCCACAACAGCCATAAAAAGACCAGTCAAGCCTTACCTGAGCATAGTCTCGCTCCAGCTGTCCCTTCTTTAGGCTGTAGCTCCTGCAGAAAGAGAAACAGGCTCATTGAAGGGCCTATGTGGAGTTGAACTGAAATTATAGACCAAGTTGGACCATAAATAATACACAATCACACTAATGAAAGTCAGGGAAAAAACATTATTATTAGGGCTGCACAATATATCGAAAAATTATCGTCATCGCGATAACAGGACGTGCGATAGGCCCATTGCAAACACGTCAAAAATGGCGACAAATGTTTGGTTCAAACATTTCCATCCGTGTCATACATCAACTTTTTGTAAACCAGCTCTGTTTTTTACGCGGAAGTATTATTTGACCAATCAAATGTAGCCCTTCTGATATGCGGCCAATCAGATGGGTCCGTTCACGTAATACGCCCGCCCCCTACGTAGACCCATACGATAGGTGGAACGCAACACCCGAACAGAGTTAGCGGCGCTGTTCCCTTGTTCGTCATGCTGGCTCAGAGCAACGAACGCACTTTGTACTGAGGTTTCTGGAATCAGCGCTGCTTTCAAACGTGAACGTGAGTCCGCTCGGTGTCGTTAATCATTTTTACCGGGCTGACTCCGACACGTGCCAGTGAACCAACCCACCTTCATGTCGCTAGTGTTCCACCGGGTGGTGATGTTAGCCCCAGGCTCCGGTTAGCTTCCAGCTAAAAGGCTACAGCACTCTCCTCCCAGTCCCACCCTGCTAAAGAGGGCCTGGAAAAGTTCCCCCACACATCAAAAGTGATTTTTCATTTATGAGCTCATATAACCTTGTTAATCAGGATAGTTGATTTGCTGCTGCACATAAACTGTCAGTCAGAAGCTCTGCTAGCCGGTGTTCTTAGAGGAGCTAGTTCAATTTGTTAGCTTGTTATCAGAATCATAGTTGCAGTTTCATCATCTGAGCTGCTTTTTAAGATCTAGGTAAACTTGTTCAATTTGGGGTTAAAAACAAACGTTTTCACATATTTTCCATGTAGTTTTTTGTCAGTTCCTCTTCTGAAAGGTAGACAATTGTTTTTCTCTTTCCCTCAGAAAATCTTAATATTCTCCTAGTTTGGCCCAGCACAGTTCTCTTCCCAATTACAGCAACAGCCTTATATCATAACCACATAAGTGGAGAAAATGTTCAGTAGCAATGAGAGAATTTGCGGTTGCATTTAAGTGATGTTAACTATTATTTAACATTTAAACTTATTTTCTGATTTTTTTTATTTATTCAAAAACCCTGGTAAGGGATGTTTTTCTGTATTTGGAGCATCAGACAAAAGTTTTATGGTGGAGGTGATGTCTTAAAGTCACTGAGAAACTGCATGCATGCAGTTTGTTGTTTTGCTGCTAATACAGTAGCAGGTGCAGCTGCATATTTTTGGAATAAAAATGTTATGTTGTAATGGAATTCATGCATTAGTTTTTGTTTGCTTTGAACCCAGAGCAGACGTCACACGCCAGACGACATCAACACTGCATACTTTAGTATTTGTTCATTTATTGTGAGTAATATCGATATCGCAATATTAAGCACTGTTATCGAATATCGCAGGTTTTCCTAATATCGTGCAGCCCTAGTTATTATATATGTTTTTTATCCTGGTCATTTACAAAGACTTTCTAAAAATTCACAGTTTATGTCCAACAGAAAGACCAAACCCCTCTAAACTATGACCTCTCTTTCACATCCTTGTAACATCCTGGCATCAGAGGTGGTGGGACTTCTTATCAAAGCTCAGGAATGTGCAGGATGAAAAGCACAACACAGAGTACATGACTGCAAAGCAGATATTTGACAATGAGTTTTGGGTTTTCATTATCGTCTGTGAGCCATAACAGTCGATGCTACAAAAAATAAAGGACTGAAATTTTCCATCTCTGAGTCTAAAGAATTTATATAATATGCGAGTTTCACCTTCTGAAATGAGTGACAAAAATATTGAACATTTTCATGATATTCTCATTTTTGAGAGACACTAGTACTGCTCAGAGAAAGTCGCTTTTACGACAGACTTAATAACTTCAACATGTGTATTATGCTAATTTGTTATTATTACATTTGCCTTCTGAAATTGATCTAGTAATCCTGATGCTTTTGGGCTTCCAACTATACAAGAGCCTCCAATTTCTTTAAAAAAAAATCAAAGGATGCACACACCTTGAAAATTTTTCGCCACTATGACCCAAGAACAGTTCCATATTTGTGCTACAAAGTCATGCTGCCTAGGTAGGTAATTTGATACATCTTAATATAGATGTTCTTATGCAAGTGACTGAAGGGGTGAGTGATACTGAAAAAAAAAAATAATTGAACCATTTTATTTTTGCTAATAATTCAATTCAATTCAAGTTTATTTATATAGCGCCAAATTACGACAAGAGTCGTCTCAAGGCGCTTCACATAATAAACATCCCAATACAGGTCAATTCATTAAGCCAATCAGAAAAAAAGTTTCCTATATAAGAAACCCAGCAAATTGCATCGAGTCACTGGGTGTTTCTCAATGTCAAGGAGCCTGGCCTCGCGGGGCGATTTCTTGCGAGGCCAGGCGCCTTGCTTACAAGGACACTGTCCTTCCTTGGTCAAAGAAAACGGTAAAATGGAAGAGATATGCATCACATGACCATGGCTTCCACGGCGGTCACGTAATGTCACATAATGTCACGTGACACGGGAGATAACGTTATATTTTATACGTGTAAATTTCAATATCAATATAAAACGAGACTTTTACTTTTTTAATTGTGTATATGTTTATTAAAAATATAAGCGAGTTACTACCCACTAGCCACCGAAGCTGCAACTACTAAGCAACTAACCAACTTCTTTAGATCTAAAAACCATTTTAAATTAGCTGACTTACTTTTAAACTTGAAAATTGTCCCCAAAGTAGCTGCCGGTTTCTGATCCGCCGTCTTTTTGAAAGTACTGCGGTGTATTGTGGGTAATTTTTGACCAAGTCTAGGCTACAAGACACCTTCCATGTGTCCTTGCTCAGCTAGCTAAACGGCTAACAAACGGAAAACACACGCCTCGGTAGAACATGAACATTGGAAACGACTGGAACATGTGTTGGCAGCTCCTGATGACGTATCTCCTAGGCAACCGGGGCGGGGCCAAGACATCAAGGCAAGGTTCCTTGACATTAAGAAACACCCACTGACTAGTGTCAGTGACTTTACAGCAATCTTCATACTAAGCAAGCATGCAGCGACAGTGGAGAGGAAAACTCCCTTTTAACAGGAAGAAACCTCCAGAGGATCCTGGCTCAGTATAAGCAGCCATCCGCCACAACTCACTGGGGATCAAGAAGACAGAGCAGACACACACACACACACACACACACGCACGCACGCACGCACGCACGCACGCACTCACACACACACACACACACACACACACACACACACACACACACACACACACACACACACACACACACCAGGTAATGTTTCATAATTAAGACGTTTTGGAAGTTATTTACCCGTAAAATACACACACACACACACACACACACACACACACACACACACACACACACACACACACACACACACACACACACACACACACACCAGGTAATGTTTCATAATTCAGATGATTTGGAAGTTATTTACCAGTAAAATACATACATTTAAAAGCAAACCCCTTCACAGAAAATATATGAAAGCTTTCAGAATCCTAAAAATAATCTTAAACTTCCAATATCTATCTATCTATCTATCTATCTATCTATCTATCTATCTATCTATCTATCTATCTATCTATCTATCATCTATCTATCTATCTATCTAACTATCTATCTATCTATCTATCTATCTATCTATCTATCATCTATCACAGTTAAAAGCTAGAGGTACATGTCTCAGATGTCTCACAGGCACTTTCATTTATTATATATTTATAATACAAAATGGTTCAAATAATGGCAATTGGACTTCTTTGGTTTCTTGAAGATGTTTCGATTCTCATCCAAGGAACTTTGTCATCGTAGTGTTGTATAAAATTTTTCATTATGAAAACCTTTAACAACAACTGTTTCTAAATTATGCTAAAACAAACCCAGCTCCATGTACTGTACTCCTAATTCTCTTCTATGCCCTCTGGAATAACTCTGATGAGGAGACCATATATTATAAACTACAAATTAAACTAAAGCAAGCGTCGATACCGTACAACTGTTTGTATTATAATATTGTGGTGTTCCACAAACTAAACCCAGCTCCATGTACTCCTTTTCCTCTCCTTTTCTCATGTGGACAAACTGTGTGATGGTGGGTCCTTGTAGTTTTATAAACTACAAATTACACTGAAGCAAACATCTTTGCTGTGAAATAAATTTACTGTGTATCTTCGTTCCTTTTAGCCGTTCATTTTCAAACTGTTTATTTTTCCTACTCGGAAGTTGGAATTTCCGAGGAGAAAGTGAACGCACCATTAGCTATGTAAAACAAAAACTAAACTGTCAAGCTAACGTTATCTTAAACAGTTTATTTAGCTGCTGGAGCAGATTAAGATGCCTTATCCTCAGATCTTTATCGCTGGTTTCATCATCACCCAAAAGCCAATAGCCAATCACCAATCACTCACATTTAGTGAAGTGGGCCCAAAATTCAGAAAGCTTCCTCTCTTTAATTACAGCTCGCCCACAGTGACTGACGACGTTACGCTCTTGCGCGTGGCACAAGTACTGAAACAAGGCACCGTTTCATATGGCATGAATCGGTACTCAGTCGGTAATATAGAACTAGGTTGGTGCCTTAAAAAGTACCGAACTCGGTACTCATCCCTACAGCTCGGATTAGTTGCTAAATCAAAGAATGATTTCTTAAATTAAATATGAACTTCTAAAACTTATAAGTTTAATAATCATTAAATAAAAGTCTGTTTATTGCTACTTATAATAATTATAATATAATGAAATGCTTTCATTAATCTGTGCTTGAGTGATAGAAGTTTGAAATGAATGTTATGTTATGATTACATTGATATATGTTTCAGCATGTTTATATGACAAAGTCATCACCATTTGCA